ACCTATGTTTGTAAGAACTTTTTTGCTTGTTTTTAAGTCCCGAATCACCTCCCGAAGTGGAGTAGGCGATTTTTCGGACACCCTGTATATCTTTAGACTAAATAGACTTTTTCCCGAAAAAGCGATAGGCCCTTGTGATTATTATCGTTCGCGTATCTATAGAATGCATACCTTTACGATAATTTGTAGAAACAAAAATCTTTAGTATGAGTCACCTAGACCAACAAAAATTGTCCGGAAAAGCGATAAATCCTTTTTGGGCTCTATAAAAGGAGGAACTGCAACGACAGTTCCCAGCAGTTCGTCAACAGTTCCTGAAGGTCTCAATACGCTATATACTTACGACTTACGACACAGTCACTATTATTGCGTAGGATTATTGTAAGTGCACACAGAGAAAAATAATCATTCTACATGCAGCCAAGGAAAGGCTGTTCAAATATCTTAACACTGTTCAAATATCTTAACACAAGTCAAGAATATTGTTTTGAGTAAATGTAATTCTTACAATGATTTCTTACAATGAATTCTTACAATTTATGGCAGATTTGTGGATATATAAGCATATCAAATACTTAATCCGCAAATCTACCATAAAATCATTATAAGCATTACATTTACTTAAAACAATATTCTGGTTTTCAACGACTTTTGTCAAGATATTTGAAAACTATTAGCAAGAAAATATTCTTTGTTGTAAGAAAACTTACTTAAAAAAAGTAAAATAAAATAAGAAAGTGCTTTTCTTGGCTGTAGAATGATTATTTTTCTGTGTGTGAAGTAGTAAAATAAAATCTTCTTCTTTTTTGGAATAAGAATTAACACAAATCTTACAATTGATAGCGGATTAATGCAAAAGCCAGTGAAGTCCAAGCATTTTTACGCTATACTGGCCGGGCTAATTATTTCCAAGAAAGATTATCTTGTCTTACTGGATCCAACCGAATCATATGGACAAGCTACAGAGGGGAAAAATCATTACCTCCGACACCTCAACGGAATCAAATACGGACACCAATATATTAAAATCAAAAATGTTCGTAACCGCTCCCATGTCGCACGCACAAAGCCCTTCTCACGAACAAGCGATCACTTTGAGCTTATTACTGGACAAAATGACCCAAATGACAGACGCGATACAAGATTTAAAGAATCAAATAGATGAGCTACAAATAGACAGACACAAAGATCAATTGCCATTGCCATCCCGAAATCTCTCTGTATTGGAAGTTCAGAGAAACACTTGCATCCAGCGACATAATGAGACTGTTGACGACTTCATAAATCGTTTCTTTCAAATTCATAATGAGATCATTAATACGCTCAAGTCACGAAAAACTGGAATTATACCTAGTCGCATCCAAGAGGAAATTTATCAAAAAAAGGCAATTGAGGTCTTTTGCCACAACATAAAACCGAAAATCGGAAGTTTTTTGTACTCCTTCGAATTGAATACTCTGAATCAGGCATTTTCTAAAGCTAAAATAGTAAAGCTAAAATAGTTGAAGGAGGACTCCAGCTAAGAAAATTGCAAATGCAATGCAATAAAGCCTTTAAGAAACCTCGGTTTCAACCTAAGGAGGGCAGCTATTGCAACTATTGCAAGAAACGCGGACATGAAGAAAACGACTGTAGGACCAAGGCACATCACCAACGAAGACAATGAGATTTTCAAAAGCGCCACAATCCCAGCCAACCGCCAGACCGAGCATCATTTACACATACAACCGATCAGAACCCAAACAGAATTCCCAGCAGTTCCTCGACAGTCAAGTTCAAGATTTCAGCACGTCATAATCAATTGCTAGCATTGTATAAATTCTTTTTGAGATAAAAATTATCTCGAATCTTATATACAGCTTATCGGGAAAGATGCACGACACATTTTGTGACCGACAAAAGTATCCGAAATTCTACAAATTGTTTCATTAAAAAAAAAGAAAAATCCGCGTAATGTATTATTTTATTTCCACAAATCGAAATATAATACCCTTAAAAATAATACAAATCATTAACTGCAATTATGAATACTGAATTCAAACTATGTTTTCAATCCGACGAACTACTTTTAGCATACTCGATTTGAAACGGTTACGGTAAAATTTACGGTTCGTTTTTGTCACAAAACAAAAATTGGCGGGCTGATGTCGATCGAAAATGTACCCGACCGTCTTGAGAGCCGAAGTCTCGAGCATAATGATGCACGGTGCAGCGTATCACCTCACCACTTCCGTTCTTTCGCAATCTTTGTGGGCAATCGCGTGGAATATCGTAATAAAGTGTAATAAAACCACTTAGCGCAGTTTTGTAACCGTAATCATCTTCCCTGATCTCTCCGCAAACATGACGGACATGCCTAGCTTTGCATTGTAAAGTTTCTTATTAATCTAAACGACATCGTCATACGCGAAATAGTTCGCAAGAATAACCGATCTTATGGAAGATTTCAATATTTTCTGGTCAAACTTCGGCGTGATGTCTGCTGCAACTAATGATACAATCAACATTGATTAACAGTGATTGCGATTATTTCCTGCGCTAATCACGACCGGTACCGTCAATTAGAGCATACGTAAGCATATATAAGATTTGTGTTTTTTACAGTTGAATTTTTTACATATTTTATTTAATGCAGAAAATACAACATAGAGCGACAAAAACTTATTAATAATTTCATAAAGGGGCTAGCGAACAAAGCTCGTTCTTAGTGCTTAATTATATATTACAAGCAACGAATATACATACATATTCCAATTTAAAACTGCGAGCCGATAAATGTCGGACTAAAACACAGCTATCGTTGGAACATTAAAAATTATTATGTCATTGTAACGCGATCGCTGCACGATTATAGAATCGCTCGTCTCAGCGCATTGCAAATTTAGGTTAGTGACAATACGTATTGCATAAAAATAAATATGTAATGTCGAATATGCTGAAAGAGGTATCGAGCAACCTTTTATGTCACTTATGCATATGGATACATAATTTCACGTCCGTAATGCGACAGTTCCGTCAAGTGTACTCCGTGCGAACGTACGATCAATTATTTGGAAAAAATGATTTTTATTCGAGATCCTTTTATTAGTCTAGACTAGCAACTGTTGAACACAAATTCAAAATGTTGCTGAAAAAGAATCCTTATTTAGGTTCTAAATATTAAGACAGAATTTCAACTAGGAAGTTAATTATTATTGCATTCATATATATTTGTGTTAATATTATTGTTCTTGTCATTTCGTGTCGCTTTCGGACAAAAGTCATGTGCTGATTACTATACCACGGTTATATCTGTACTACAAGAATCCGAGACACACGAGAAGCGTTTCTCATGATTGTGGCAGCGTAATTCTTATCGATGTGACGATCGCAGGCCACGAATGGGTTAATTAACGCTTCGTTCAGGATATGGTTAATCAGACGTATGAGAGATGAATAGGAAATCTGGCACGAAGGCCAAAGTTACGCAATTAAACCTAATATGCGTATATACTTTAACGTTAGATTTATCATCTCTATACATTTTTCATTGAGTATACTCGGGACTAAATCCGGTAAACTAATTTGTAAGTAAACTACCCAGGTGGAACTTTATTATGTAGTTTAACGCTTTTTCTCACCTTTTTCTCTTCAATATCTCATTGTACCTACATTCGTCTGCATTTTAAGTGCAAAAAATATAGCGTTATAGGTCCTATACGCACAATAGAGCACAAATTACTCAAATTAGGAATAAGAATAAATATTAAATATTAGAAATCAGAATTAAAAATACATTTCTAATTCCGATTTCTTAGCTACGAATGAACAAAACACACTAAAATGAAAATTAAAGGTCAACAAACGAGCAACGATATATAGTTGTTAAATAAATTAAATATATGTATTAAATTAATATATACATTTAATTATTTAAGGGGCACAACTAGTGTGACTGCCCAAAAAAAGGTGATTTTCGGGAATTTATTAAATGAAAAGTATTGCATCGAATGTTTTAAAATTTTGAGAATATATTTGTGTATAAATGATCTATGTGCAGTAATTTTTTTGTATGAAAATAATCAATTTTCAGCGACTTATGTGTCATCTCCCGAGTCTCCAAAAAAAAAACGTGCTCCCACTGCTGCAGTGATTGCGGCCTTCAGAGTGCTTGAAATAAAAAAAAAAATGTCCGTTAAACTAGAAGGTATTTCCCGTACAATGACCTAGGATTATGAAAAAAAATTAAAATCCAACAAAATGGCGGAGTTTTGAAAAAAAAGTTCAAATTACGCTTAAAAATTTCGCGGTTTTTTGCATGGCAAATTGACATTTTTCATCCAATCAAAAAACTGGAAGGTCATTGTATGGAAAAACAAATACTAAACACGCTCCAAAAAAATTCAAGTCGATCGGATGATTTGTATTCGAGTTAGAACTGCAGCAAATTTGAAAAATGTCGTTTTGAGAAAAACGCGTTTAGATAAAAATATTGATTTCATTGTTTGATTGAGAAATATCATATTTACAGCTAATCTGCTATTCCAGGCCCATATAATTTACCTTCTTCATCCTCAAGAAAGTACCTGCTGGGTTGCTGAAGCTTTCCTTCGAGCTAATCAACCCTCTTTCGAAGCTTATGCACGTTTCTGACCGACGAGCAGCTACTCTTTAGAAGGCTGCCGTTCAAAAACTATTTGAGATTCACTCTTAAAATTTTAATATGTTATTCTTGAAGCTATAGACTATCGAAAAATGCAAAAAAAAAAAATCGATTTTTCAAAAGTGTCACACTAGTTGTGCCCCTTAACAACTATATCATTGCTCATTTATTGGCCTTTTTCATTTTAGTATTTGATACACACGAGCGTGATTATTTATTTATTTACGAATAGAAAGATTTTTGCGCGCACCCGGCAGTGCGCCGTGAAGGTAGCCGCGCAAATGGGTCCCGTTCGGTCCGCACCTGGCGCGTCGATCGCGCGTAGCGGTTGTTCAAAGGCGCGGCAGCGCGCCGCGTACAGTCGTCGTCGTCGTCGCGGAGCAAGGCGCGCGGTGAATGTTCGGCCGTCGACGTGACTGGACGTGACTGTCGGTTCTCGGAGTGGAGTGCGGAGACTGCGGAGAGTCGAGCGAGCGTGGCGGTTGGGTTGGCCAGTGCGCGAGCCACGACCGCGTGATGCGAACGTTTCCTCGCAGCGCGCCGCGCGGTCGTCAGAGCGTCGTCGTCGTCGTAGTCATCGTCGCGTAAGGATATCGACGAGTGCAAAACGGCGAGCGGCAGCAGGAAGCCCCGAGGAATCTCACAATGTGGAGCCCGACGCACGTTCAGGTGACAGGTAAGCGAGCGGCGATATCGCGGCGACGCGACGCGACGGAACGTCGTAACGATGTCTCCCCCCCTCTCTCTCTCGTTCCCTCTTCTCTCCTCTCCTCTCCTCTCCGTATAAATGCTTTTCGACAGGTGGTCGGACGCTCGGACGCCGCGCGGTGGAATGCGTGCCGTAATTCCGATTGTTACCTACGCGAGGACGTATGGATGCGCGTATATACGAGGATTACGATGAGGTTACGTGTCTCTCGCGTTCGCGGAAAACTAGGCGAGCGAAACCCCGCAGCCTCGTCTGCCTCGCCGCCGCCGCTGCCGCTCAGGAACGTAATCCGAGACCGTCCGGGCCCGGGGCGTCGCGTCGTTGAGACGTAGAAACCGCGTTTCGCCGAACGTTACCCGCGTATTCGTCACCCGAACGGGATATCTGGACACTTTCCAAGACGTTCCGAGACGTTAAGAAGGGAATTCTCGAGAGGGACCGCGAGATAAGAATAGGACGTACTTACGAGAGTTCGAGGAGACAACACTACTCTACTTTACTCCCTTTTGTGCGAAAGAGATCAAGTAGATCCCTCGTTTAAATAAATCACTTCTTATCCCTCGTGAAGCTCTAATCTTATCGGTAACGTAAACGTTAACGATATACCGCGGTTTATAGCAGTCGGGGGATTCGTCATGGGAATGGTCTGCTTCATATCTCTCGTTATCTTCGAATCGAAGAAGACGTAAGGCGCGAGAGATATGCCGTTTCGCTGCTACGCGATGTGTCATCGCGTCATCGTTGCACCGTGATGCACGCGAATAAACGCGACGTATTTAAATACGTCTGAGAGTGCGTCGCTCGAAAAAAAAAAACAATTCTCTCCCTTTTGCATCGCGCGCCCGCAATCGACCACGATATTAGAAATCGCTCTGAAATCTCGGACACAGAAAAAATTGACCAATCACATTTAAACAATTCGGCAATTGACCAATGCGATTGGTTAATTCTTTCTTCGTACAAGATCTCGGAGCGATTTCTAATAGCATCGTGGACACAAGGCTTTTTAGATCTTTCGCTTTTAAGAGTTGACCCTCTATAATTTGGCCAGTTGGCTTTGTTTTGTTCGTATGAAAGAAAGAATTACACAATCGCATCGCGGAATCTCACTTTGTATTCGTCACGCGTCGGATATCTGGACACTTTCCAAGGATATAATTACATCGACTTTAAAAAGGAAATTCTAGAAAGAGACTAGTATAAAAAGATACTATATGTATAAGAATGTATAAGAACTCATGAAGATTTTTTTTAGAGAATTTTTTAGCAAACGTCCCGCATGCTTTTTCTTTTGGAATAAATCCAATAGTAGTAAATAGAAAACATTGATTAAGTCATTAGACTTAAAAAATATAGATTAAGATATGCGCTTTAGATATACACGAATATAGACACATGTCGCTCATTTGCTTCAATAATGACATAACTCAAAATTGGCTTATTTTGAGTAATTGGTACAGAAAGAACAGTTATAATAAATTAAAATTTTTAAACTTATTTTCTGGGAAATTATTATTTTTGAGTTATGTCGTTGTTGAAGCAAATATGTGATACACACTTCCAAGTCACATAACGTTTTATATAGAGTTAATGCTGGAGAACAATATTCTCTAAAGTCCACTTTAGATGATTTATTATTCGCGTCAGAGAAGTCAAATTGCTATTCTATATTTATATTCTTATGTGCCATATAATACGAAAAACAATTGAGGAGAAAACAATTTAGAATATACACATATATAAAATATATAATTTTAAATACATATGACGTACATTGAAATATGTGATATAAAGAAATAATCTAAAATAATAAAAATTATCTAAAATGGGCTTTAAAACTTAAATCGCATGACAAAAAGATCGTCTTATAAAAAGCATACACGCGGTATAATTTTTCCACCGTTGATAATTCGCGAAACGATGTTATCTCTGATGATTAATTGAAGAACTATATATTTATCTCTCTTGTTTTTTTTTCTCTCTCTCTCTCTCTCTCTCTCTCTCTCTCTTTCTATCATTTCCTTAACTTCTTAAGATTATCGTAAGAGGATCATAATTTTTTGGTTTGTAACGACTTCTAGTAATAATTTCAATTAACTCCGACAGCAATTAAATGCGATTATGCGGACGCATCGCTGTGCTAAACGTTAACTCGCGGAAATACGCTGATTCTACTTGCCTAGTTGAATATTCTATTGCCTTGCGAGAAAGAGTTTATCGTGTGCTGAAATCTACTTACTGAAATTTTCGAATGCGGCGAGCTCTCGTGCGATATTCCTCGGCGATATATCAAATGACGCATCCTGTGTACTGCTATTCAAAACAGTTATGTTACTCATCGGTTGTATCTAATGTCGATTTTTAAACACACGCATATCGCCTCCGATAATCTAAATTTTTTTCAAAATAATTCTCTAATTCTCTGAAGGAATTTTTTCTTTCTGTGCTTGTTATCTTTTCTCTCGTTATCTTTTCTTTCTTTCACAACAGTTTAATCATCGATAATTCATTGCGGTCTTCCAACTTTCGGTGAGCAGTTTGCAGACTGTTTAATTAGGATACACCGTTCACCGCGAATCGATCATAAGATAAAAAGCCCAGTTACTGCGGTTTAGCTCGCGAAAGCGTGCTCGCGCGTTAGCGTACTTGTCCTCTTAATTAGCACGCGCGAAACTTTTACCTTCGGGCGTTTAGTTAGCGGGTGTCAAATCGAGAGTAATCGCAGCCGAGACTCGCCGTTACAACGGACATATGCATAGGGGGAAGAAAAACCAGACATCTGTCTTCGAAACGGTCAACGACACCAGGTGCGAATTCAGAAAGTTTCCCCACGGTGATTCAGAGAGAATATTTCTCCGCGGAAGAGACTATAAAAATAGATTTTTCAAAATACCTAGGTTTTTCAAAACCTTGCGTGAAGGCGTGTGCAATTGTAGATACGTTCTCATTTATCGTTTTATAATAACAGAGACACGACATGTGCTAAAATCATAGCAGAGTAAATAATGATTCTCGTGCCACATATTGTGTGCGTATAATTACAAATCCGTCTTGCGATTTCCACGAGTGACAAGTTTTTAGCTCCTTCGTATATCTCGCTGCAAAATAGGCGACGCGTGAAAGCATGTTTAGCGGCTATTCGGTGCTCCCCTTTCCTCTGCTTTTGCATAAAGTATTTCACCGATCGGACCGGATATGCCTTTCAAGATCATGCAGACACGTTCAAACACTGAAAACCTTGGAATCTTATGTCCTTAATTTTATTTTTGTCTGTTCGAAATATTCTTACAGAGTTTACAGAATTAACAAATACGAAATAGTCTTATAAAAACTAACGCGGTTACTCGAAAGAAATTCACGATGGACCCGAGAGAAGGTGCATCCTAGAAAATCCTTTGAATAGGCTTAACCCGAGAACGGGCGCCTCATTTTTTTTTGCATAAACAGTCACCTAGGACTACTTTTACACCCCAATTAAAAGTCATTATTAATTACATATTGCATATTTTGGATTGTGTTCTGTAATTTATCAGTATTTGAGGACAATATGTATATAGATTTACTCAACATTTTCAGAAAAAGGAGAAACCAAAAAAATATTTAAAAAACGAAGGAAGCACATTAAAATTACTGTGCCTTTTTCGACAGGAGTGTTTAAGTAGCCTCAGCTTCTCGGATTAAGAAAAGGATCGGTCGAGAGTCGTGTATCGTCGGATCATCGCGATCGCGGCCACGTTGCTGAGACGCACGAAGCATTGAAAAATGCTTTCATCTATCAGACTAAACGGTATTTGACTGCGGCTTCATCGCGACGGGGACTTCGAGTCCGTCTCAACTCTAACTCGACCGTGAAGAAGGATGCGACGAGAAATTATCTCTCTTTCGGCTCTTCTTTTCTTTCGGTGTACGAGAAAATCGGGGAATACGTTGGCCTCCTCCTCGTACCTCGCACATCCATTATGGTTCATCGCCGTTGCGCGTGTGAGAACGAGGAAGTGCCTCCGACAGTTATTCGGTAACGCTCCGTGTTACGAACTAACGGATTACGGATGGAGGAGACAGACGCGGGTTCTTTCTTTTCTTTTTTTTTTTATCGCAGACGTTTATTCCGCGACCATTTTACGAGATCTTGCGGATTATGCAGTAAATTCGGATTTCAAGTTTCACAAAGATGCACCTGTAAAGGCCAATGTCACGATACAGTAACTCGGAGCATATTACTGAAATTATTGAAGTTTAATATCGAGAAGATAAACGAGCAAAATGTCTTTTCGGCTTTCTACTTCAATTCATCTTAATCTTTCTCACACACAAATATAACATATATTAATATACTAATTTTCTTTTTTTTTATACATATCTCGATTGAAGATGCGCGATGAGAAAAAGTCTTTTACAAGAAGGAGCGACCTTCGTTTGTAGCGCGATGAAATTGCCGGAAAATGTCTGGGAATGTGCTGTAAGCGTGTGATTTCATTGTTTAAATTCCGTATTTCGGTCAAGGTTTCGTAGAAATTGCACGAAGGCTTGATTCGTGAATCTCTCTCTTGGTTACAAGCTTCACAGCCACGATGCACCATTTGCATATATTTGACGTGCATAGTTAAATTACCAATTTCAAAATTTAATCAAGTTCGATTGCTTATTATAAGGTTCTTAATTCGCATGCACATTTCTCATTTTATCTTCAATGTCACATCTAGTTAATATGTCAAACAAGATCTAAATTGCAAACTAAATATAAATTATTTTATTACATACATACATTACGAATTAGTGTGCTACTTTAAAATATCGTACAGATTTTGTACAGATATTAAAATGTTGCTAGTTGTTGTATTTAAATTGATACTCTCTCTCCTTATATATTTAAATACCATTATGGCTAATATATATATTGAAGGCATAAACGGATAACAACACGATGATTTCTCGAAATTGCGAAACCAATGGGGCGGTAACTGATATATACCTGCAGCTTTTACTTTGATATAAGCGAGAGCGATTACGCGCGAAAGCCATAACGTGAGATTTTCTCGTGGGCACGGTGAAAAGTCGATTGAAGAAAAAAAAGTAGATCTACACGAGAGGTGTTAAAGAAATCTCTATTTTCACGATGACTGAGATCGCTACGTTTTATATTTAAATGCATTAATATTTAAATGCGAGCGCGTGGTATGGAATTATTGAACATATAGCGTTTTTTGCACTTATATGTATATCTACTTATTTATTTACAAGCATATTGTTAATATTATTGCAATAATACGAAGCAGCTTAGAAGCAAGAGATTAATTCCAATCAAATTCAATCTATCTAGTTGACGATTTACTTTGTACTTCAGCACGTGAACGTATTAGATAAAAGTAACATAAATTGTAGCACGACATGTCGTTTGATATAACTCGACACTTATTCTGCATTTTTTATTACTGACATCTCGTTTTCATTGTTTACAGTTCAGAGAGCCAAGGACTTGCTGACTAAAGGAAAACACAGTGAGTATGATATTTTTATTTCGATTGCACTTGCAAATTTTTCTTCAACAACGCTTCTTTTATTCAAAAGAATTTATTAAATATACATATATTAAATATACATATATGTAACAAGATACACGCTAAGGCCCAGTTTCACAAGTGTCGGGTAAACTTTTAACCTTAGATTAACTCACTCTTCGTCTCTTTCTAATAAGGAAAACGTTAGAAGGAGACGAAGAGTGAGTTAATCTAAGGTTAAAAGTTAACCGACACTTGTGAAACTGGGCCTAAATGCAGTATGTGCAACGTTTAAAGTATGTGAAATTAATTAAATTATAAAAAGCCTTCAATCTCCTAATGCCCGAAGCATCCTGAACACGACCTGAACACGATAACATCTTGAGATCTCAATAATCCAGCTGTCATCCAGCCTTGTTTTCTCCCATTTGCCAACACGTGCATCATCATGTTTTACCTCTCTGCACGTTATTCGCGTGTTCGCGCCGATACCGAGTGACCTCGTATTTCGCGGCTATTTTAGGTCATGAATCATCCGGTTTTCGCTGGCAAAGCAATCTGAGTTTGCAAAACAATACGCACAAATTTTCGTACGTCGTCGTCATGTCAACTGAAACTCGAATTTCCAAAGCGAAAATAGATAATTCCGTTGCCTCAGCAGAATTTCCGTCGCAAAATTTTATGTCATTTTACTTGTTAGGAAATCAATGGCCTACTAAAATTAAGTAACGAAAGTATATCAACATTTCTGTGAAGAATATTCAAAATAAAATAAAGATGTGTTACACGCATTTTAGTAAACTCAAAAAATAGGGAAGTAAAAATAAAAAGTTTATAGCATGAGATAAATGCAAATTATAAAGTTTGTCATTAAATTTTGTCAATTTGAAGGAAATAATTGACATAGAAATTTTACAACGTGTATTTTAAAATGCTTGATCGAATTAACTTTTACAAGTTGATGTTCCAACTGCAACCAATACGACGCGACGTGAGGCCGTGAGCGCGTACGCTATCTTCTCGACCTAATAATCAGTGTAATTGCGCGACGAGTTAATGACTTCCCGATGCGCGTCCGCGATACACGCGTTGTGACATTACTATATTTATTTAGCTGCAATGTAAAATGAGCAAACGCAGTACTGCTAACGAGAGAACCATATATTATGGTTAATGGTAGGTTTCCATCTGCGGAAAGGATATTTAGAAGCGCGTCGATAGCGTGTCATATGTTGTCGGATTAAATTACTTTCCATTACCTGCATGTAAAAAGAGAATTGCATTACCCCAATTCTATCAATTTCTACCTATATATTATTTTCTTTTATTAATATAAATGCAAAACTGATAAATATGCACAAACCAGTCGGGGCAATGCTTTCCAATTAAGACCAAAATCGAGATCGAGAATTTTCTCCTTTTTGCCGCGAATACGTAAGTAATAAACTCTTACGACGTTTCTACGACAATTGAGAGCAGACGTATTCTCTTACCGGGTGAGATCTTTAATTCCCGTTACACACATCTCATTAATCTCCCGACCTCGCTCCCGGTCGACACCGATCCTCCGCGCCCACACGTCGTAGAAATAACAACACGTTGAATTGTGAATACATACGTATGCAGAAACCAACGATTGCTTCGTGACAATCGCACTCGGCAAGGAAAAGTACCAGACATCGGTGAAGCAGAAGGCTACCAAGGACGTGGAATGGCACGAGGAATGCGAGCTGCTGATCCCGGAACAGGGGAACACCGCGGAAATCGTCCTCACCGCCCTGCACCGCAACTTCGTGGGGGTCGACGAGTTCCTCGGCACCGTCAGCATACCGCTCTCCAGCTTCGACGTGTACGAGAGGCCCAAGAACAGATGGTGCGTTTGCGATAGCGTTAATTGCACAAATTGCGGCGTCTCATGCAAATCTCTCCCACACTTCCCGCCCACGGGAAAATTGCTCTCGGGAAAGAGAAACCGTCGCGTTTACGGCGTATCGCCTACCTCATTAATTACTCGCATGCCTTTTTGCATTCTTGTAGCGTGATGCTATAATCGACCGTACACCTTGTGTGGCAATTTGATATGGTCAAATGTGATTTTTTTCTTCTTGTAGTATAGCAGAGTTTACACTTTATAACTCATCCTTATGCTATTTGTTGTTAGTATTTATTTTTTTGAATTCACCTTTACCTTAACATAAATTTTTACCTTAAACATATTTGTGACGTTTTGTAATTTTTATATGACATATATTTTTAACAGATAATAAATGTCCATTATTGGAGTTAAGAAAATGTAAAATTTGCTTTATTAAAATATAATAGATATACATTTGTTGTCAATAAATTTGTGAGGGAATAAATGCGTTTGTAGGTACGCTCTTAACAGCAAACCAGGCAAAGAGAACACGAAAGAGAGAGGCGAGCTCGAGGTGAAGATCGGCTTTATCGTAAAGGCTGGAAGTCTGACCGACCTAAGTAAGAAGGAGCGTCACAAAAGCTCCTTGGGACAACTGTCCACAGCCGCGCAGTCGATCGGCGGCAGTTTGCTTAGCATCGGCAGCCTTGAGAAGCGCAAAGGCCTGAAAAAATTAGCCAAATCAATTGGGAACAAAGTTAAAGGCAAGAGCAAGAACCGGCTCGATGGAAGTAATCTGGACGAGAGGGAGGAGCGCGAATTCAAAATCACACGACAGGAACCAGGTGAAGCTGATCCCGGAGTTATCAGCGAAGATGAAGATGAATTCACGGTAATTGGAAACAAGCCTAATTCTAGTTATCCTAACGATATCGTCAATACTCGTATTTAATATTTGTAATAACGTTTTATTAAAACCATTATATTAATTCTGAGTTAAGGATGAGTGAAGATTTGATTAATTTTATTATTTCTTGTTCGATAAGTATGTATATATTACAGATGGATAAAAACAATGGATTGGATAAATATTTAAAATAAGTTTGTCTGTTGGACATAGTTTTAATTACTTTAATCTGTTATAGTTTGACGATTTGTCTCATAAAAGCTCGGCCTCGTCGCTGAACGCACCCGTGCCCCCTGGTGTTAACAGCGGCAATGCCAACGGTATCTCGAGTGGCTCGCAGAGCAATGTCTTCAGAGAGGTGCACACGCCACCGGCACCAATTAACGCCGCACCGAGCAAACCGCCGCGATTTGCCATGAGCGCATCCGCCACGAATCTGTCGAAGGTCGACAATTTGACGAAGGACGACGAGTGGGGCTTGAAGCTCTACGGCAAGCAAGCGAGCAGCGTGCCTAAAAGGTAAAAGTGTTTGAAGACGTTTTGAAGATATTTATCTTCAAAAGAAATAGGAGAAAAATAGAAGAAATAGAAAAAAGAACGCATAATCCGGTAAATGCTTAGCAGTAACTGAGAATTATTACGTCAATAATAAAAATATAGTGAATAGATTCATTAAGTAAAACGTGTGGAGCATAATAAAGCAATGTTGCATGTGTTATGCTTGTCAGATGGGAAAGCAAGCCTAAAATTGTGGTGGATGAGCCGCAGGATAACAAACGCGACGTATCGCCTATTCGTTCATCATCACCAGTCACATCGAGATTGAAAGATCTTCCGGAACCGCCCAGTCCGGCGCCGAGAGAAATTCTTCATCCGAGGAATAAGGATGAGAAACTCGCTGCGAGCAAGGAGAAGCTCGCCGCAAGCAAGGAGAAGCTCGCCGCGAGCAAGGAGAAACTTGTGAAAGAAGATAAGTCGAAGGATAAGAAGGACGAGAAATGTGACCCACGAAGTCCCAAGGAGGAAAAGCACGCGAAGAAGGACAAGAAAAAGGACAAGGAGAACAAATTCAAAGATGCCAACGACGAGAATCGCCTGTCTTCCGAAAGGATCATCATCGGCGGCGAGGATGCCGTTAAGAATGCCGCGAATTCTAAGAGTCGCCTGCCGCACGAGGTCCTTAACCAGTTCGAGGGCAAATCGAGAGAAGTAAATATCGATGCATAATATCATTTCTTTTTAAGTCTAATTTATTTATTATTATTAATTAATTTGAGCTCTTATTATTTGAGAGGAGCATGCAGTCGTCACTTTCTTTTCATGAGACAAGTTTTCCATTGCGAGACGATTATCGTTTTATTCTAAACAAAACATTTCACTTACAGGATCTAATAGAACTGGCGTTGCACCTACAGACGCAAGTCACGGAGAAGAACAAGAGACTCAGCGATCTGGAGGATTATATCGATGCACTGCTCTTACGTGTGATCGAATGTTCTCCGCGATTACTTCAGAATCCGTATCAGAGGCGATTGTCATCCCCCGGAAACCAATAGATCGATAATTGGCGATGATGAAGCTTTCCTATCTCCACTTGGGGATCATTCCCTTTTTAATGCCTTAGTGATACTTTTATTCTAGACATGACTGACGAGTCGCAAGTGGCTATTTTTGTTATTAACATTGCTCTATAAATTTAATTTATTTTCTTTTATGCATTATAACTTGAAGGAAAAGATATATAACGTTCTCGTAGCAGCATTGCGAGAAATCCATTTCCCCATATTTATTTATAAATCCCGCGCGAGAATGATCGTTGGACAATCGAGTGATAAGTAAATAGTAATTCGCTTATTATCGGAAGCCAGTTTATTACCGATATGAACAAATAATGGGATACGGCTGCCAGTTGAAAATGATTTGCATTTCACGTAATCCCCCGCCGCGTCTTCCCAGTAAATAAAACCGTCGAAGTTCGAAAAAAAAAGTTTGTGTTCGTTCGCGATCGAGATTTCCGTCCAATCGAGCTTGCAAGGAAACGTAGCGAACACGATTGTATCTTGTTTTATTATTATCTGTAAGTTATCTAAGAACATTTTATATGTAAAAGTTCTGACGGGGCAAAAAGCTTCGCGAAATAAACACGTGCCTTCCGTCTTGTACATGTACGCACTCGCATTAAATCGAAACCATATGCCTTGTTAATTAAAGCACTGTTTAATTACGAGCATTATTGAATAAAAATGATATACAAATAATACAAAAAAACGATATTAAAAGCTCCGAATATTTTCGTCTCGAAATCGCCCTCCTGAGAACTTTTAAATTAGGTCCATCGCGCGTGCGCGTATTGTTTGCACTTTTTGCACTTGGGGCATTTTTGCTTTCTCTTTTTCCAACGCCCAATATATATATTTATCTCGTTTTAAGTGCAGGAATTTTCGGGAATTTCAAGCAACACTAACAATATGTACATTTTCACGGATTAACTTTAATCTCAGTTTAACTTATTTTTTTATCTTTTCTAATTCTTCAAACTAGAAAAGGATAAAAAGTAAATTAAATCGAAAGTTAATCCGCATTGATGAACACAAATCTTGTATCGCCGATATTGGGTGTAACGTGAACAGGAGTATTAAAAGTTCCCACGCTTTCCACCCGTTCGAAGGTCGAGTTAAGTTAGCGGCGGATTCCAGAGCTGGCGCTCGCGGCGATCGGCATTCATGTTCGTGCACGCTCGTGCTCGTGAGTTCGGGGGATACCTAGCGCGATCGACGAACCGTTATCGCGTGTCCTGTGTCCTGTGTGCGATTTCAGGACCAGCTCGTCGCGAAGATCACACGCGACGATGACGGACGGCAGCGGGAACGAGGATTCCGCGGCGTTCAATTCCATATCCGGTGAGCCATCTCCCTATCGCGCGACACCGGCCTTTAGAGGTTAGGATTGGTTAGATGTGTCAGGAAGCAGCGGGTTTTTCGGATGAGCTCGCGCGTTTCACAAAACTTTAGCTCGCTGGGTGTCGATCAATTAGCTCAGCTCGTTTCTTATCGCGGGGAGGGAATTTCTGGTTCGCGTAATTCCAGGAAAACGATCGCCCATGAGAGATATTCGATTTTTACGCGTACACCTGACTTCGCGTCCGATAGTCCATCTGCGACCTCGTTCGGCGTATAATTATCTCTCATCGCGTCGCGTGACAAAGGATCCTTCGCGATCCTTTTTCTACGAGACAAATTTTAAGACCGACATGTTACAGATGCAGGCAAGGCCAACGCCGGCACAGCGGGTCCGGTAGTTTTATATTCGACCGCACAGGCATGGCGAGCCCAGTTCCACCGCAGCCTCACGCGGTCCAGCATCTCGGAGTCGTCGGACGAGGAGGAGGATCTGTCCCAGTATCAGTTCGAGGACGATCTCGAGTACCTCAGGTCGTTGGACCCGCGAGACTGGAAGGATCAGGACCATTACGCCGTTCTAGGCTTGAAAGATCTCAGGCATCGAGCGACCGAGGATCTTATCAAGAGAGCTTGTACGTAAAGTATGCCCGGTAAAGGAAATTATAGATGTAAACGTTGATTCGAGGTTGACAACAACTTGGATATGTCTAATATGTGGATTGCAGACAAGTTGAAGATATTGAAACACCATCCCGATAAGCGCAAGGCGATGGGTGAGGAAATCCGACCGGACGACGACTACTTCACTTGTATAACGCGCGCCTGGGAAACCCTCGGGAGTCAAGCGAAGAGGCGTAGCTATGACAGCGTGGATCCTTACTTCAACGACAGTCTGCCGGACGAGAAGGACTGTCGGAACAATTTTTACGAGGTGCTGGGTAGAGCTTTCAAAGATAATTCACGCTGGTCCGCGAAGAAGCCTGTGCCACGATTGGGCGGACCATTCACGCCGCGAGAGAAGGTAGAACAGTTCTACTCGTTTTGGTACGACTTCGATTCCTGGCGCGAGTACTCGTACCTCGACGAGGAAGACAAGGAGAGTGGCCAAGAGTAAGTACGACGAATCACAAGGTTTTCTCTTCGAGGAAAATTGCAGCATAGTGTTTTTACGACGAAATTAATTGCAGTCGGGACATGCGCAAATGGATCGAGAAGAAGAACAAAGCCACGAGAGCGAAACGGAAAAAAGAGGAGATGGCGCGAATACGCACTTTAGTGGACATGGCGTACAATGTAGATCCTAGGATAAAGAAATTCCAGCAAGAGGACAGAGATAAGAAGAACGCGGTGAAAAGGGCGAAGCAGGAGGCAGCAAAGGCCAGGCAACTGGAAGAAGAGAGAATAGCACGGGACGCGGCGGAGAAGGAGAGATTAGAGAGGGAGAAGAGAGAATCTGAGGAAAGGGCGAAGCAAGATGCATTGAAGCAAGAGCGAGAAGTACAAAAGAAGGCGTTGCGCAAAGAAAGAAAGGCGTTCAGGGACTTTTGCAAGGCAAACAATTACTTTGCCGAAAGCTCGGAAGAGAGTCTCCGACACATGGAGAGCGTAGAGAAGATATGTGAACTGTTTAAGCTCGTGCAGCTGGAAAAGGCGATGAAGAATCTTCAGGCCAATGGCAGAACCGCGTTTTTGAGCGTCGTCGAAGAAGCTGAGAGAAGAATCGAGGAAGAACGCCGCGTAAATGTGATCAGTAACGATGCGAGAAACGCATCTGATAAGCAGACCAAGACCTACACTGCACCCTGGAGCGAGAACGACTTGCAACTCTTGATTAAAGCGGTTAATCTGTTCCCTGCCGGTACCAATCAACGTTGGGAGGTAGTAGCGAATTTCATTAATCAACATAGCGGCTCCACCAGCGGAGTCACCCGCGACGCCAAGGAAGTTCTGGCAAAGGCCAAGAGTCTACAGTCGACCGACTTTAGCAAATCGAGCTTAAAGGAACAAGCGAATAAGAAAGCCTTCGACAACTTCATCGCTGAGAAAAAAAGCAAGGAAGCTATCGAAGAAAGAATGCCAGCCGTTACAGAGCGCCTGGATCATCCAATCGCGAACGGCGTAGCTGCTGAACCTAAGGAGATTAAAAAAGAAGCGGCCCCATGGACACCGGGTGAACAAAAACTCTTGGAACAAGCACTGAAAACTTATCCCACGACAGTCCCGGACAGATGGGATCAGATCGCGGCGTGTATACCCACTAGAACGAAAAAGGAATGCATGAAGAGATACAAGGTAAGCATTAAAAAAAAAACGTGTTACCTTATATCATTATATTGAAATGTTAGGCTCGTTTACGCAAATCAATATGAGGGAATAATGGGCCAACAATACGAACTAAATTAAAGAGATTATATTAAAAATAAATTATATTTATAAATAAAATAAATACGGTAAACGTATTCAACTTCACTTGTTAGTCTTCTTCAGTACTTATTCCCTCATATTACATAATTATTATAATTGCACAGTGCAAGTATACAATCTCATTTCATGTAATATTAAATTAAACATCGTTATATGAATGCTGAACTAAGTTCCTTTTTTAGAACGAAAGGAAAAAGGATAAAAGACGACATTTGAAATAATTACATCCAAGCATTACATTAGCTTAACGGATAATAAACCGAGCTACGATTCTACACTTGTTTCTCTTTGTTGCAGGAACTGGTCGAGCTAGTGAAAGCGAAGAAGGCGGCGCAGATGACAAAATAATATTAACTGCACGCTAAGCTCGAAATTTCCTTCTTTAACTTATTGAACTCTAGTTCAATTTCGTGATTTCGATAGTGACGGTTATTTCGTTCCTCGAAATGAATTACTTCCTTAGAAAATTATAAACGAAATTTAAGACTGGAGGACAAGAACCTTACCTTATATTTGATGCAAGGTCTGGCCATACTTGTGCCTTTCTACAGCCGATACGCATGCAGAAGAAATTCGACGTGTTTTGTTCAGTCGATTCCGCGATAGTTTTATTTCGACGCGCTGTAACAACTCTGAAGGTACCTTTGAAGCCGTGCTGCTACTCGACCATTATTTCTATGAAGATAAGATTCTCTCAGGAGAATCCTCTGTGTGTAGTTTTTTCCTTTTTTTTGGCAACATAAATCTTCGCGACCGACCTACACTTCATATTGTAAGTACTGTAAAATAAAGAGGAGCTGCTGCTGCTGCTGCTGCTGCCGCCCGCCAGAAAGAAGCAACGGCCAGAGGAGAGCGACGGACTTTATAAATAAACAACAATGTTTTGAAAAGTGTCTGTTGGATAAAAATGCCCGTCGATGATCCGTAATCCCGTTCCGTGAGTACTTATCCTTTATTTATCCTGATTATATGAATCCTTCATTTGCCATAATTATATAAACGTTTTAAATGGCTGAAAGTATTATTTAATCTCTAAAAAAAAAGAATTTGGCAATAATATTCCTTAAAAAAAAAGGAACATTATTGTCAAAGTGCAAACATTTTTCGTGCGATTTGTCTTGATTTATGAAAATAATGTTATTTCTCTGATATATTTGTGAATGATATTTTATAAATCTTATGTGGCTATTCTCTCTATTACTAAAAAAAGAAAACTATTCTTCGAGGACGATATGATAGGATTTCATGAAGAAATCTCATTTCAGTTACCGTTCAATTTTATTTCCTGTTTTTCTCACCCTATATTTCAACATTCCAAGTTCAGATTATTCCATATTGAAACACACGGCGTTACGCACCGTTATAAAGGACCCCGCAACGGTCATGGGGGGTTTTGGCTCCCAGTCAAATTTAACAATAATGTAGGATAATTTAGTTCATAAAATGCTGATGAAAAGTGTCTATAGGCAAAAAGCCCAAAAATGGACAGTTTCCGAGATATAAGTCATTAAAGAGTGGAAAAATGAGAGTTTCAGGTTTCAGCTAATGGCAGTTTGCAACAGGCTGAATGCCATGCTTTCACTAAAACATTTACTTGATTGCTGAATGAATTATACTTATGCACAGTATGCGTGTTCAAAACGTTTTTCTCTAAAATGCTTAGTTTTTTAAAGAAAAGGGGTGGGCGGGTGATCTCAGACACCCGGTATATGTTGCATACATGTCATTCGATACAATGACATTATGTTATGTATGGTTTGATCATTGACTTGACTATGTGAACACGCATACTGTGCATAAGTATAATTCATTCAGCAATCAAGTAAATGTTTTAGTGAAAGCATGGCATTCAGCCTGTTGCAAACTGCCATTGGCTGAAACCTGAAACTCTCATTTTTCCACTCTTTAATGACTTATATCTCGGAAACTGTCCATTTTTGGGCTTTTTGCCTTTAGACACTTTTCATCAGCATTTTATGAACTAAATTATCCTACATTATTGTTAAATTTGACTGGGAGCCAAAACCCCCCATGACCGTTGCGGGGTCCTTTACGCGAACGGCAAAATATAATTAAGATGCGTCCTTCGAGGAGTCTGCAGTATCTGTACGCTACTAAAATCTAACATCGTAGTGCGATTCTGTAACTCGTTATGCTGTCGTTATGAGCACATAACGACGCATAACGAGTTACAGAATCGCACTGCAGGGTAGATGAATATAATTATTGTGCACTTTGTTCCATTATTATGCACGCCGTCTCTTGTATCGGAAAGGTTCGCGCCTTTTGTTCACACTACCCGACGTTACTATTATTATTAATTATTACAATTAATATTAATTCCCGGCTGTTATAAATTTTATTTCAAACGAATCGAGCACTGTCCGTAACAAATAGGTTGAAAAACAATCTTAATACAGTAAAAATACGCTATTGGTCCTGCTAAATCCTGTATCTTCCGCTCTCTGCGCGTTTTATGAAAACATACATTTATATTTATGCATATTTATACAGAATACACTCTAAGGGGCACTATTTCTAACGTCTGTTAACTTCTAATTGACCGTTATCAGAATAGCCAATAGGAGTTGGCTATTTCGATAATTAATGGTCGGTTAGAAGTTAACAGACGTTGAAAATAGTGGCCCTAAATCGAGCAAAAAATATTTTAGGGCAAACTCCGACAAATTTCGCATCCGCTTCCTTTTTCTCTCAGCTGATTGGAATTAGATTTCTTCCAATCGCAGGTTCGTCATTTTTCTCTTGATTTTAACTATGCTATATTCTCGACCTCCCTGATCTTTTTTTCAGTATCACTAAATGGAAAATGTTGGTCTTTCTATATACGATTTACGTTAAACTTCGTAATAATATACGACGTGCATGTTTCGCATTATCAGTTAATTTTATTATGAGTTATTATACTGTTTATCGTAAACAGAACGGTGACGCGTTTCGTTGTAAATTTCGTCCCATTGTAAAACGGTATAAAAAGACAGCCGTTAACGAAGAAAGCATTGCTAGAACGTTGAAAAATTAACTACTCTATTGCGCACAAACGAAGCCGTGTCCCATCGCAAGCAGTTTTTTTTTTTTTTTTTTTTTTCCAGATGATTATCTTGGAGAATCCAACGCCGATATCTTTCCTTTTCCTGAAAACTTTATTCACGATCGAACTACCAACAATTAATGGTATATCTATTTCTGCTATTTAAAAATAGTATATATATACATATATCTCTTTTGAAAAAAAAGATAAAGGGGAAAAATAAATTTAATCATTTACAACAAAAGTCACGGAAAATTTCAAAAAAATGCACCGTTATAAATTTGAGATGAAAAATTACAAACTAGTCATTTTTTTTTAAGGAAAAAAAAGAAGGTAAAAGTTTATAATAACTTACACAGCTCGGATTACTTTGACTTTGACATATGTTGTCAAGGACATAATACTGAGTAACTTTTCCTTATAACTTAATCGGCGGTCGCTGCTTATTAAAAAGTTATAAACAAAAAAAGTTTGAAAAATATAGCAGCTATTTTGAGTATTGGAAGGCATAAATGACTAATATATATGTCGAAATAGTTCACGCATACACTTTTCACGCGAACCGAGGTTCACCCACACCCCCCCTGCTTTCGGGGGAGGTGCGGTAGCTCCGAAATAGTTCACGCATAGACTTTTCACGCGAACCGAGGTTCAACCACACCCCCCCTGCTTTCGGGGGAGGTGCGGTAGCCCCGAAATAGTTCACGCATATACTTTTCACGCGAACCGAGGTTCACCCACACCCCCCCCCTGCTTTCGGGGGAGGTGCGGTAACCCCGAAATAGTTTACGCATGAGTTATTTGACGCGCTTTAAACAATTAAATACTGTTAAAGCGCGTCATCTAACCTATGTAGATTAGTGACGCGCTTTAAACAGTTAAATACTTGTAAAGCGCGTCATCTAACCTGCTACGTATTTTCCAAACTTTTTTTGTTAATAACTTTTTAACGAATAACGAGCAACGGCTAAAACCTTCTGAAGATCACTCGGGGTCATGACCTTGACAACATATATCAAGGTCATTGAAATCGGTGAGGTCGCCAAACTTTTTTTTGTTAATAACTTTTTAATAAACAGCGACCGCCGATTAAGTTATAAGGAAAAGTTACTCAGTATTATGTCCTTAACAACATATGTCAAGGTCAAAGTAATCCGAGCTGTGTAAGTTATTGTAAACTTTTACCAAAAAGAATTTTATATGTGGCTGAGTGAATGTTTTAGCACACTTATTCTGTACACTGTTGTGTACAGAATTTTTCTGTAAATAAGTGTGCTAAAACATTTATTTAACCACAACGAAATTCTTTTTTTTTCTTTGAAATATTTAACGTACGTGCCGTCAACCATTGGACCGCTAGGGTCCTTAATTTAGGTTATAGGTATGGCACTTAACTCAAAAAATGCCTCAATCTTTTGATTCTTTACGAATATCTTAAGCCTTGCAGATTGTGAACCCTTTCCGATTCCCTGCAATCGTGCAGACCATTAATCCATAAGGATCTTAATCGGGAAAAACTTCTTCTTAACGAAGAATACATAGGACGAAGGCCGGGTCGGTTTCGAACAACGGACCTTGGTGTTTCTAATCATTCGCGTACTTAAGCACTGAGCCACGCGTCATCCCACAAACTAGTCATCTTGACTGCTTTGGTTGGTTCTAGTGTTAAATTCTAACGAAATATGCACGTTATACGTATATGTGCATAAATTATGAGCGAGAAAGATCGATTGCACGGGGGTTTTAATTGCTATGACAATTTTTATTCAGACATCATAAGATATAAACAGACTTCGGATTTTTAAACATTAGTGGTTCTGGACCGTGTAGCGCTCCATTTACTTTTTTTTATATTATTTTTGTGTTTCTTTTGTATCTCTTCCGTCCGCGAGAGACGAGAGGAACAGACGGCGATCTATATTATACCTTACAGAGCGTAAAAAATTCTGCCGCTACTTGTGGTCGTGTTTACGGACCCGTAGTTTTTTGTAATTTACACTTGCTGCTTCAGCATCGTCCAACTCTTCTCTAAAAATTTGGCATATGTACGTGCGTGTATATATTTATATATACACTGTATGTTTCATAATAACGGTTTCGCGTTATCACTTACTTAAAATGAAGAAACTAAATGGAAGAAGAGAAGGATAATCGATAATGAAATTAATATATAGAGCGTCAAACGTGGGATATGCAAATCGACGATTAAAAGGGGTAGAACCAAAGATCAGAGAAAGAAAGAAATCTTCGATCATTCGTACATCGTGCGATCTACGAATCGATCGTCGATGCAAGCAGGAGCTCTTTGGCTCACAGCGTTATAGGATAAAGCAAAGCGATATACGAAAGAATATAATGTAAAGTGGGGAAATAGATCGACGAGTTATACGTAAGAAAAATTCGCGAAGTGAAGATGTGTGAGAGAGTGGAGTTCGCATTGGTCGTAGACAAGCCCAGAAGGCTGCCGAAGGACGTGATTCTGAAAGTATTCCAAACTAGTAAGTCCGTAGTTAACAATAAACCGATTTGTCAATCGCTCGGCGCTCGCCCGTAATTCGGCGAAACTCTTGAGTTCTGAGGTCTCTCTCCCATCAAGCATTAGACTCTAATTGGTTCTACTCCACGTTACATTCTTTTTCTTTTTTTTCTTTTTTACGGTTCGACATAGTATACAAACGGGAAAAAAAATCGAAGCATATTACGCGACAAATCTCCAGAACCACGCCGATTGACGAGATACTTATAAAATTTACGAGAGCTTAAAAATTTGTCAACGTCTATAAGTTAACATTTACGTAGTTAGTTTCAGTGTCTACGCACCTCCTCCGGTTTCCAATCTCACGTTTCTGCGTAAAAGCCCAAAGTCACACTCGAATGACACACACATCGATAACGCGATTTTCTACATACTGTGATCGGATTTTAAAAAGTCTGACAAAATTACTGCGGCTGCTGTGGTTTTCTGTCGGCTGCGGTTTCTTTTTTTTTACGAGTGAACTCTTTGTGCGTGAAAGGGGACCCGCGCTATTTCCAAACGATTTACTCCAAAAAAGATTCCGCACGAAGGTATCTTCAATTATCTCTCGAGCAACTTTTCGCTCACATCCTTTTCCACATTTCACACAATTATTTCATACAATTATTATAACATTGCAGTCAATGTGTACATTTAATTATTATACATTGTATATAAAAGTTGATTAATTTCGAATCATTTTACGATTTTTTATTTTGATTGACCGTCTTTAACTGGACACTTTCAAAATTAGCAAACTTTGAGGACTGCTATATTAATCTCTCACAGCACAATAGAATATTTTCGAGGCCAAACGCGTTAGCCGATTGAAGCGAAACTTTTCGCTTGACTCGTCGTTAATTAAAAATCGCCAGTAAATCTCTCGTAAGCGGCGCGCGTCCCCCAGAGATGAGACTGTCGGGAATATCTATGAAGTGGCTCTTTATAAAGCTCTCCGTATCGTTGAACATGCACTTGAGTGGGTGTAATCGTGGATTAAAGATAAAGAGAGAAAGAGAGAGAGAAAGAGATTCGTGATTCAGATCTTTGCATATCCGATCGTTTTCACGTTCGAGTTTACACTTTACGTAATAAAAACCATATATCGCATGACCGCGTTTCTCCGAGAGGGGAAAAGTTCCGCGTCAACACCCCATCAAAACTTATCCCCGTCTCCGTTACGCCCCGCTCCGCCCCCCTTTACTCTCGTTTGTATAGAGATTGCCATCTAGAGATATAATATATATTTATATATATTTATATTTATATTAATATACTAATCTCGAATCTCTCGCAGCGCTAGTTTTATCGGCCATTCATCCTCACGCATCTGAGCGGAAATATACGCGCGCATACGGTGTTATGTACACAATTACAAATACGAATAATAATATCTATATATATCGTCACAACATTTCATCAGTAGTGTACAACACACTCGCAGCTCTCTCTCCTCGCGCAATAATAATTCGCAATAATAGTCGTTTTACTTTGTCTAAGTTGATAAAAGTCTTTCTCTGGTCCGAAAGAAGTTATAGATACTTAGGCACTTGTTATCTTGTCTAGAATTTATATACGTATGAATCATGAGTCGTAATTATCGTGCTAGTAACCGGTAATCATCGGAACAAGGACAACGAGAGTAATCAATTGTGAGAACAGTAAGAACGATCATCCGCCGACGTGTTTTTTTTCTTTCATTCTCCTTTAACCCTTTACGACCCGAATTTTTTATTTTAGCATTTTTTTTATCTAACTTTTTCGCTTGTCTGTCTAGAAGAGAGATTTTTACTGTCCAACGGGAAATTATGGTGAGTTGATAAAAAGTTATTACGTCAGAATACTTTTACGAGATAATAATAGAGATTCTATAAAGCGTCGTAAAGAGTTAAAATAGGCGATGAATTTTGTAAAAGAAAATATCATGTCGCTAAAAAATAGACGCAAAAATAGACGAATTAAGATAATTGAGAGACATCCATTTTTGCAAGATTCGACTTAATCTTCGACATGAGAAGTTTGGAAAATTCACAATTTTATAAATTTCTCTATTTTCGTGTCTTTTAACACCGATACTGTACGGAATTTACTTTAATATATATCTTAAAATCCTGAGGGAAGAATTCACTTTCTGAATGTCTAATTAATTGCTCCCAATTAGGCGCTTTTTATACAGATCAAATTAAATACTGTTTCAAAAATTTCAAAGCCAATCGTTAAAATTGATAATGAGAAGCTTACAGTTTCATAGAATTTCCTATTTCTTTCATTCTAATTCGTCTATTTTCTACACGTGGCGTTCGCCCTTGATCGGGACGAATCGAACAGAAAACGGAGATCAACGTTAAATGGGAACAATGGCGAATCTCTAGAAGAGTTTTCTAGAGAAGTAAAACTCAATTCCGTCGGGAGCCCCTGCAAGTCCCGGGATGCTCCCTCGATTTTAATCTCGCGGTCGTTCGACGTGTTCAAAAAAATGAAGCTCCGCGCCGCGACGACTCTCGATCGTCCTGATCCTCCGTCGCGGGAAAATACATCTTAAAAGTCTATATATTCTTGTGCCTAAACAAACAGCAGCTTGCTCCGCGCGATCGTCCAACTTGCACGCATCTCGCTCAAGGATATCCGTGCCAAGTTAGGAATTGCGAGCGATTCGCGTGACTCAAAAAGTGCCGGATGAACACCCGCGTTCGGTTAGAAAATATTCGCTCGAACGAAAAAAACGCGTTTATTGGTGTCCATTAACGGGATGGACCATCTCGACGTCGAGCCGGTCCGCCCTTCGTCGCGACTTTCGCCCCGTTTCTCCCTCCCCTAGACTAAATTGTAAGTCAGCGTTTTGTCTCTCGAGTGGCGTCTCTCGATCCGTACCTAACTACAGCTATACATATTCAGAACAGTTTTTATAAAGCGTCCTTATGCTCTTCGAGCAACAACAACAACAACGGCAATCGAGCCCCGCGCGGTCTGAATCCATCCGAACTCGCGCGATCGATTCAGATCCCGTAGGAGGTCGGCGATTCGATTCCTCTCGCGCAGTTACTTCATGTTAACTGACGATCTCGGTCCTTCGACGACTACTCCCGACGAGGGGGAGTAGGAGTTTTCGGGTTACGTGGACGATGTTCGCGTCGCGGCGACCTTCTCGTCCTGCTAGGACGGCGGTTGTCGCTGTTGTTGCTGCTGTTGTTGTTGTTGTTGTTGTTGTTGCTGCTGCTGCTGCTGCTGCTGCTGCTGCTGCTGCCGATTACTGCCGCGACGGTAGCTGGAAGAAGAATGAAGCGGGCGATAGGCTGGTTGACTCGGTGGCTGCTCCTGCAACGGCTGGTAACCGATGCCGGTCGTGGTCGGTCGCTGGCCGCCGCTCCACGGTTGCAGGTGCTGCTGCGGCTGCTGCTCCTCCGTGCCCTGCTGCAGCTGGTAGGTCAACGGCTGGCCGCGCCGCTCCTGCAGGAGCAGCTGGTGAGCGGCCTGGTCCATCTCCTCGCGCGTCATGTCCAGCGCCTCTTGCATCTCGCGCGACGTGTACCGCACGAAATCCGTATCACAGTATTTGCCCAGACCTTGCTCCACCAGGACCTGAAAAGTCCGACACGTGGCGCGGATGTTATTGAAAAGTTGAAAAAAGGAACGATTTATTATTTTTAAACGTTTCAAATTATTCCTTTCTAAGTTATATACTGCTGTTTATTCCGAAACTCACCCGACCGACGAGGCTCTCCGCGCTCCCAATGACCTCGAAGTTCGGCTTCCGGTCCGCGGGACTGCCGGGCATACTGTGGGACAGGCGCTCTGCGCCGACGCTTCCGTTACTCTCAGTGGCCCAGGAAACTGACGAACGAGGAGAGGCGTCAGAGTGTTAGCTCGAATCAGTCACGCCCTGCCTCCTTTATCGCTTTCGATTTTGCTTTTTGCCGAAAGGCCTTTTTTTTGCGTTAGCGAGCATAGCGTATACACAAACTGATTTAGTGACATACGAGTGCTTCTCTCAAGCATCACGAGATTACTGGTGTTAGGTGTACAGGTCGAATTGCAGTTAAGAATAAAGCGTAAAGATATAACAAGACTTGTTAGTTCGAAAGCTGACAGAGCGCGTGCTTCGAGCAGCGGTTGACCACCTTGAGCAACACTTTGCTTCATATCCACGTCTCTCTTCGTATTGTTCTTTGTGCCGATCCCTTTCGGGAGATTTTGTCGTGCAGGGGTTGTTTGAATGAAAAATGATTGTATCTTATGCATCGAACTGCCTGATTGTAAATATGCTGCAAATCCAAGTGTATTATTTTAGCTAAAGCTCTTCTTACACATTTCTTGTTTTAAATCACGTTATTTGACACGATTGAACGTATTAACTTTTAATTTAATACGATTAAACATGTTAAATGACGTAATATAACACGCAAGAAATATGTAAAAAAAGCTTCAGTCAAATGTGTCATTTTTAGACGTTTATGCATGTGAAAATAACACTTGGATTTGCAGTGTAGATTTTACATGTCAGGTTTATTTGATTTCCATTCGATGAAATTATTTCGACTGCTTCAATTATCTTACATCAAAGCAAATTTTGATTATTAAACTTATTCTTTGATTAGAAATTAAATAATAATTATGTGCCTTAATAAAAACTAGAGAAATTTTTTAAAAATTATCAAGAATTGCTGAAAAAATTGAAGCATGAATATATAATGCAAAGAAACTGAATTTAACGAAATCCTAAACATAACGAAATAAGAGAATTGTTGATTGTATTTGAGGGTGCATCGGTGTATTTCATATATTGATATCAATCCTTTGCGATCGATAGTTTGAATATTAATTCAATTTTATTCTCTTTGCCAAAATATCTAACGTGATAAATTCCGTGCATAATTACTGCATTATTTTACAAAAGTTAGAAACAAATAGAATTTATAAATCATAACAGCGTTTATGTATATTACAATTATAATTTTCCTGTTTATCTCGAGTGATAAATCTCGCGATAAAACAATTATTATTACATAATCACAATATTATCACTAATATTAGTTTTGGATCGAATATCGGATAATTTATGATAGAATATAATTTGTAAGTCATTTCGATCGTTTGGAAAAATAATGTGTCGCGATCGCAAAGGATTCACTCGCGTGTGCCTTAGTCACCTCTGCCGTGGTAGGACGACGCTCGGTGCGACAAGCAGGAGGCGCAGACGCGCCATTGTCGCGAGTCGACGTCGGCGAGGAAGCCGGCCACGGCGATCGCCTGGTTCTGTGCCATTTTAAGGCCATTGGCGACGGTGCGCGTGCCGGGGGGGCCCGACGACGTAGCGGCCGCACCACCGGTCGCGGATCCCGCCGCCATCGTGGCGGCTGCGGCGGCCGCGTCCCGCGATCGGAAGCTCGCCGGTGCCGATTTGCCACCGGCGGTCGCGGCGTCGCGACGGGCCTTGGCCCGGCGCTTCGACGACCGGCCGCCCAGCACGGTGACATGGGGTTTCCCTGTCGTGCCCCGCGCCACGCCGCCGCCCTCCGAGTGCGGGTTCCACCTGCCGGAATCGCTCGATCCGCTTCCGGTTGACGTGTCCTCATCGTTGCAGTCGTCTAGGGCTGCGTGCGAGGACACGGGGACGTTTTATCAATGGGGCGTAAGCCTAGTCGCGCCTAAGTTTTCGTAAGTCAGTCTTACTGTGCTGGCGAACGCGACGAAATTTTGTTGAATGAAATTTTTAAAAAACAAGAAGTTAAAATTTTAACTTGTATAATTTTACAATAATTTGATTATTTTTGTGTAACGTCAATCACTATTTTTAATAGTAATTTTCAATTTTTTTACCATTCATTTTATTTATGAATAGTTAAATACCCAAGAGAATTTGGTTTTATTGGATAAGTGAAATGAATTCTAAGTAAATTAATTAATTGGAGAGTGAGACTCCTCAACGCCAGCACAGCGACAGGGCAGTCTTAGCGACCGACTGAACCGGCGTTTTCCCGTACCGTGATTGCTCCAAACTGCGCAATCGACACAGCAGCCCCGCGACGCGTAGGTATAATAACAGTTCGTCCCGTTTGACGAGGAAGCGGGGCTTGAGCTCGTCGCGGTGGTCGAGGTGTTCGCGCTCGCAGTGCACGACGCGGTGATCGTCGTCGTCGTGACGCTCGACCCGCTCGTCGTGCCGGCCGCCGCGGATGCTGCTGCGGTGGCTGCGGTGGCTGCCGTTGCTGCCGTTGCTGCCGCTGCAGCGACGGGGGTGTGCACGGCGGTGCCGGTGCTCGGGGTCCCGGTAGACGAGGACGGTGGGTTCCGTCGCGGCGGAGGCGTGGGTGGCGTCAACTGCCGCTCGATTCCGTCCTGAAGACTGCACGAGCGTGCATCACACGCACACACGCGGAGTAGGACGGCAGGAGGGAAGAAAAGAAAAGCGTAACGGCTGTTTTTTAGTACGTTAAATGCGTGGCAGATAAACGCACCCCCGAAAGCCTCGAGACATTTTACTTGAAATAAGACGCTCTAAATGGGAGTCTGAAATGGAGTAGAAAAATGCTCTGCCGCCTGGGAGAACACAAAACATTAGATTTCATAACAAATTTGTTAATTTGAGATGATAAATAACGGTTGTCTCTCTAATGTGGAAAAAATTTTCCCCTTTCTCATTTCAGATCTCTCATTTATTATTTATTTCACTTTCTATAATGAATTTAATTTTTCAAGATTTTTTAAGAAGAAACATATGTATCGTTTAATAAAATGATTCAAGACAATTTAAAAGATAATATTTTGAAGAAAATTAATATTGTTTGTGAGTCGGCCAGGTTTTTTATCGAGGCATTTGGAGGCGCTCAACAAGCATTATCATCAAAGTATAGCGATAATCTCTACAATTAGTAGTAATAGTAGTAGTACAAACAACATGCGATCAGCCGGACATAAATTACCGCGCGCGGGACCCAAATGCATTCTCCTTGCATTTCGAAATACATGTGTGACCCGCCAGCGCGTCTGATTATTCTCGCAGCTTTGCAAATCGATTCCCGTTTAACCGGTGTTTCTTACGTGAGTCATTATTTCTCGTGAAATATATAGTTGAACGGGACTCTCGTGGCATAATTAATGAAAGACGCATGCAGCCGCGCAGAGCAAGCAATGCGAATCAAACAGAAAAAAAATGATGGAAAGCCAGCTACTGATCGCCCCCTAACTTGTCTTACCATATTCGCTATTGGGATGGAGATAGTTACCGCTACCCGATCCACTGAAACGGTACGATAGTAAACAGAAAAGCGAAAGGGATAATGAGAGATGATACGAATCGACCCGCTCTAAGAGGCGAAACAAATAACTTGTTGCAAGTGTGGGAAAATTTAGCTAAAAGTCGCATAAAAATTTTTTTTATTGTTCTATACGTTATCGCGCGCGCTTAACAAAAGAAAGTAATTAAATAAAAGGTGACGCAACCGCGTTTTTCCTCGATTATATGAATATTTAGGAAGATTATTTCGCGTGATATAATGAGCCAATTAAAAAATCAAACCGATGAGCGTCCTGCATGCACTGTGACGTGATATATCGAGAGACAGAGAGAAGATAAATCGTCGTGGGAAATAATAACTGTCGATTACACACGAATGAGACGTGATGTGGTCTAAACAGAAACAGGACACTCGCCGCAATTTATCTCTCGCTCGCTCGCTCTGTACGCGTTCTGTACTTACTCGACCACTTTGTAAGACGTCGGTTGCGCCGGATTGCCGAAGGCAGCGAGCGGTCTCAGAGGGATATTCTCTTCGACGCCCGTCAATCGCAGATCGGTCCCCATCTGGTTCATCGCGCCGTCACTTAGACCACTGTACGATCATTTTTCACGCGTCAATATACAAGCAATTGATTAATCGACTATATAACTAATTAATCAATATAGTTGAGTTAGCACAATTTTAATATCTTTTAACAAAAGCATTCGAAAGAAATATAAGCAACGCTCTAGATGCCATTTGTGAGATATTTTGGGAAAACTTTTAAGATAAATGTTTCTTTTTACGCATTTTGTTAAAGTATAACCAGAGTATTTTAGGTCAATTTAATTGCTTCTTGTTGTTCTAACATTTTAATATCACAAAATTAAATTTTAACGTTTGTGATCGAGTAGACATAAAGTTTTAAAGATATAGCGTTCATTTTGAACATTTAAGAAATTTTTCAAATGGCAAAAGAACTCAATAACGGATAAAAACATTCGGAAATATAAAGAGAAATTATCGAAGAGATTAATTTTTAATTTTTTAATCAAAATACGTGAAATAATTACCTCGCTACATTTGGCACAAGTTGGTGAGCGATTTGTTTGGTGACATCCGCGACGGCGGTCCTTCGCAACGAGGCATACGGTAGAAAATCTATGGAATTGGTCGGGGAAGCCTGCGAGAAAGTTTTTAATTAGTACGCAATCGACAGGAGAGAATTCTATACGTCAAAACATCACGTGCCTTCGCAGCGGCGGAGTTGACCTTTAGCGATTTCGCCCTGTGGAAGCTGTGATGTCCTTTTCGCATGCTGGACCACACGCTGCCAAAGAGCGAGTGGTTTCTCTGAAAATATTAACAATCGCGTAATATGCTATTGTAGAAATTATTATTATTAATTATTAACCATTTGATTGTGTTCAACTCCGACAATTGTAGCTCCGATTATGCGTTGAGGATGACTCAAAGAAAGGGTCGAAACTTGCGCTAATCCTATTTAACTAGACTATATTATAATAAATTATATACGCGCATACTAATTGCAGCATCTGGCTTTTATTGCCAAGTTCGTTAACGTTATTTAATTTTAATAATTATTATTTATTGAGCTTTTCGGGATACCTATAAGATACGACGATCGTTGATCTTACCCTGTGCATAGGTTCCGGATTGTCGTCGAGGAGTTCTTCCAAATTGCCGGAAATCGCGCGTTTTAATTCGGGGCCAGCTTCGTGTAACGTTCTCAATCCGGCCTTTTAAATTGAAATTGCAAGTATTATTATATATGAAATAACATCCAAATATGATCCTAACTAAGTTCTAAACACATTTCTCCTAAATTGAAAAAAAAACTCACTTGAAGCGTCACAGTATTGTGACAATCTCTGTCGCCGTCCTTCATTTCCTGTTCCTTGCGCTTCTTGAATCGACGGAAATAGTCCTGGATGAGGAAGGTCGCGTAAAACTTGCCGACCGTCACCTCGTCGTCCACTGGAAGGATCGATTCGAAGTGTAAATTTAATTCCGCGAATAAAAACAAATTTCACGATGGAAGGAAAACGCGCTCACCTCCGGGCGGTGGTACGACTTGATCGAGAAGCTTCGGACTGGTCCTCTTCCAGATCTTCTTGATCACCGCCCTGAGTTCGGCGTTCGCGTCGTCAATGTTGCCCTCCGTCTTGATTTTCAGCGACGTCCTTACGACGGCAAACAAGGTCGCGTTGAACAATACGGTGCCGTCGCTGTTCAGCGGCATGTTCATCGAGACGAGTCTCTGAATTTTTTAATATCGATATTAGGGACGATTCCGTTAATTTATTAAGAAAAACTAGAAACTCTACCGGAGGTTAATCTATATTTTTATTTCTACCAAAGAAATCTTAGAAAAGAAAAAGAGAAAACAAATTAATAAAATTAATCATCTAAATTTCAGAAATTAAGATGTTTTAAAAATAAGTAATAAATTATTTCAAAAATGTCAAATGGGTCATTTCAACCCCCTTGGTAATATAGTGTTAAATTCTCTTAGGCAACAATTCTCTTTGTTTGTTCGTTAAATACGAATGATAACAGTTTTTTCTGTTAAAACCTGACACATAGCAAAAGTCATAATCTATCGAATACAATGCGGAGAAAATAAAATAATTAATATAGAATAAAAACATGCAGCTATTTGTAGAAAATAATATTTTCCCTGTATCAATACAAGGCAGATAGGCTATCGATCGGCTGTAGATAAATCTACAGATCTATAATTATGTAATCATGTCATTAGAGTCATTTACTAACCTTACAAGCTACTCTATGGGGGCACAGCTTTCCGAAACCTAAGGGCGGCGATATTTTCCTTAGTAACGTTACCACATCCAGATGTTTGATGCGCCCCTTAGCATCGGGATCGTATTCGGACCACAGGCGAATAAACTCGTCCAAGTGGTGCGGCCCGAGAATCGACCAATCTCTCGTCAAGTAGTCGAAGTTGTCCATGATAACGGCGACGAAGAGATTGATGATCTGTTTTCCGCGAGAGATACGCAAGATTAAATTTAGGAGGATCTATATCGAGGATCTAAATAATAAAATAAAAATAATGCGAGACGGAGATAATTGGAACGAGATGCACTTACAAGAAACGAACAGAGCACGTAGAAAGATATGAAGTAAGGAAATGCAATGTCCGACCCGCAACTATTCTTGTCGCTTTCGTCGCTGTTGGAGTCGCATTTAACGCTATCTTGTGACGAACAAGCCATCATTATTTCTTGCCACGCCTCGCCTACGGTCGCAAACATTCGATCATGATTTTTTTCAATAGTACTATGCTCACTTTCAATGGCTAATTTTACAATACTTTACGATTGCAGATTTTAATTGTTAAAAATTTTATTGAAGAAATTGCACATCGATTTCTGCTAAGCGAAAACTAATACGAAAGTTCGAGCACAATCGTAACATTTTCATCTTTTAATATCAAATATTTCACGCCAAATAAAATTGTTTATACCTGTTGCCGATCTAAACAGAACCAACACGGCTTGTGGAAAAGACTGGAAATTGTTATTACGATTTATCGCCGTAGAATCGTCTATCGCGATCTTTCCGAACACCTGAAAAGAAGCGCTCATTTGAAATTACCGTCGTTTATGTGCTTCAAACAGGCAGTGTTTTTTTTTCCATCGATCGGCGTTGCTTACCTGCATGCCTATCACAGCGTAAATGAAAAAGAGCATTATAATGAGAAGGGCGACATAGGGCAGAGCTTGAAAGGACTTGATAAACGTCCATAAAAGTGTTCGGATGCCTTCCCCTCTGCTCAGCAGTTTCACCAATCTCATCACGCGAAACAGTCTGAAGAAATTGATGGAAATGATAGTGGATCCAGGCTGCAACGATGACAAAATGGTTTAGCGCAGCAGTTTTATACTTCCGCCTCTCTCAAATATAATCACGAATATTGCCCCGGGTGCTCGATCAAAGTCGAGCGCAACGGATACTCACGTTAACTTCCGAATAAACGATATCGATGAAACTTCCGAGCACGATAATAAAGTCGAATACGTTCCACGCATCGCCGAAGTAATTCTGCAAATTAATAACGAGCTCGTTTATAAGCATAATCAACGCTGGCGTATAAAGTGAAATTTAAAAAACGAAACATTTTGAACAAAATGCGAAATGTAAAATTACGCATTAGATACGAGCCCACACCTTAAATCGAAACGCAGCCAACTTAAACACAAACTCGAGGGCGAACACGGCGGTGAAGATCATGTTGAGAACGTCCAGGACATTCGTGTAGATGTCCGGCTGGCGATAAAATTTCATTGCGAGCGTCACGGTGTTGATCATAATTAGCGTGAATATCGTGTATTCGAACGGTTGGGAGGTGACGAACCACCAGACTTTGTACTGTATTCGATGCTTCGGTATGTATCGGCGCACTGGCTTAGCTTTCAGCGCGAACTCGATGCAATTTCTCTACAGAAAGAAGCGACTATTAATCCTCCATGATGATAACGATTAATGCTGTTTACTCTTCGACAGCTTCGAAAAATATATATTTGCGATATAATTGCAACATTAGACATTTTATTCGGATTTTGTCGTATAATTTTATAAATGTGTGCCTATTAGGTACTATTATATTCAATTAATAATTGTATAATTTTGATTGTTCGAAACTTTGAAACTTCGATCTTCAAAGATTGTAATGTCGAAGCTTCGAAGTTTGAATATCGAAGCCTTCGAAGCAAAACACCAGCCCTAGTCACAATGGGATCTTCGTATGACTTAGTTCTATAATCTCAGTTCTGAGCATTTTATTGCTGAAGAAAATTGTATAACGAAATTATAAACAATGATACTCTATTCCCATTTTTTAAAGTTTATTATTTTTGATTAATTTTTGAGATAAAGATTGTATCACATTTTATTAGAATTTATTGAAATTAGGAATGTTCTTAGGGTCATGCGTGATCTCGCCGTGGTATTAGTGCTAATTATAATTTGAACACAATTAACCCATTAATTTAATATACTCGTGTGATTCACCTGATTTTTATCGAGCTCGCAGTTTTTGTACTCTTGCTCACCCTCGTTCTGGAAGGTGACAATAACGAAACCGACGAAGATGTTCACCATGAAGAACGCAATGATGATGATATAGATGATGTAGTAGGCGGCCACTATCGGCCGAAAATTATGAATTGGTCCATGATCTTCTTTGTTCGAATCGATCGACCACTCTAAAAGTCTGTTAGCATACATGAGAGACGACGTTAGCTATCTGACATGTCGCATTTAGAACTGCAGTACCTACTTATCCATTTTCTTAGTATTGTTAACAAAATTACGCATTTATCGAAATAACATATGAAAAAAATAAGATACTTGTCTGAAAGATCTGAGAAAATAGCAAGAAAGAGAAAGTAGCAAGAAAATAAGAAACGAGTTCCTAATGGAAACTTTGTTGTATCGACATTGAGAGATTGCTGTAAAAGCAAAGTTTGCATAAGTAGCCTTTCGTACCGTATTTAATCTATTTAACGTATCTCGATATAGATACGTAAATCTTGAAACAATGTTCGTTGCGAACGCAATGCAAGATATACTTACGATGGCCAACCTTCGAAAGTCGAGACCGTAAAAAGGGTCAACATCGCCTTCGCAACGTTATCGAAATGAAAACTCTGTCGATCCCAGTGTCTGAGTTTCATGACCGGCCTGTTAATATTACCGTCTTCGAATTCCAAATAAGTACCCCTGGAAAGGAGAGTTTCTTGCACCGTATTCTGAATGTGTGGCCTATATCGAAATCTTTCAATTGTCCGTGAATTAATGAGAAAGCTCATTACAGAGAAAAATTTTCTTTTCATTACGTGTAATGTATTTTCAAATTGGAGATATGCTCTCTTATCAGTACGTTATTGTTATGTGCACAAGATTACTGACAATTTTTAAAGATATTTGTGGTTTTCGATCGCAATTCTTGGACTTTATTAACAATTACGGGAAATTGAGCTATTTTTATTAATTTATAACGTAATCAGAACTTACTGGCACTGGTCCTTCGTCATTTTCGATGCATCGGAACAATAGAAAAACTTGCCCTACACAATACAAGAAGTTCGTCAATTTCGATTGCCGTTAATACCGTTAACGTGTCCGTTAATACGGGACTAGAATTTACGCAACATGTTAAAGCTGCGAACGACACGCTAGCGTTCTTGAAATTCAACTTAATGCCATTCACCAGGCTAAACAAATTACTTTTCGCGCAAATAGGTTCCACTACATATGAGTAATTATCTGTTATTTGTAATCCGTCAAATATAAAATATAATTAAAAACGCATTATATACATATAATCATCATATATGCTTCAATGTTTAATTGCTGTTATGTAATAAATAAAATCGCTACAAGAGAGTCTCGATATCTCTGGCCTCGTGTCGCAATTGAATCCTTCGTGTAGAATAAAAAATCTCAAAGATCGCCAGCATGACGGGTTACACATCAGCTGTGAATCGGCCATTCACTTGCGGTAGCATTGTCAGCGGCAGCAACAACGAGAGACGTGATCGAGCAAAGTATAAGAGGGTGTTAACGTGAGAGGCAAAAACGTGGTATATGGAAAAAAAGGACACATTCCACGTCGGCACGTGCATACATATGTACAACAATGTACGGAGGCGATGCGTGGGGTTTCCTCGCGATGATTTCCGCGATCACGTCCATGTTATAAATAAGCGTTTCGTCGCGCTTGGTGGTGAACACGGACATTGAGTGCATAAGCACGCTGAGGGAGAGGTGTCGGTGAATGGGTTCTTCGCCCCCCTCGCCTTGAAACCCGCGTCGCGACCATGTGGACGGAGCGAGGACGGTGCAATAATCGCGGGAGGAACACCCTCTCCAGTCATCCAAACTTCCACGTTCGCGCAAATTGATTCATCTCCATCCTTGTCGCTTGTGCGTTTCATGTATTGATATCAAAATTCCGCATAAAAAGAACAAAGTCACGAAAAGATTTTAATGCTAGAGAGATCAATAAGATCAATTAAATTTTTATATCTCGTTTAACAACATAAACATCAGCCATAAATAACAATATTAATTCCAAATAACTTTGTCGTCAAATCTCGGACGAATTTGCGTAACAACCCAGCAATTATTCATTCGAGGAAAATAATGTGTTATTTTCCGAAAGAAATGTTCGGAAAACGTGGCGGAGGTGTATTCTCATCAGCGGGCGCGCCATTATTGCACCTCGACGGTTTAAAGAGCTGATGGCGATCTATAGACGCGCGCGCGTGTAAAATGCTCTCGATGAAATCTGTGATCGCTCCATTATCCGTCGACATGGCGCGCGCTCGCGTGGGCTCGGACACGACATGGGAAAAAAAGCACGAACAATGGGCCACCGTGACGCGCCAAATTGGTACTATAATTGCCACCTACGTAACACGAGCTGGTGCGGGCCAAAATAACGAAACAGATTGAAACAACAACGCAGAGCCCACCTCCCATTCCCGCGCCGACAACAGCGTGATAGCTGACGATTTTGCGATCGCCCTCCCTCCCACCCTTCCCTCTCGCCGTTCTTCCCCCCTCCTGGCCTCCTTCCTTCTTTTTGTAATCCATAATTGCTTGCAAGTAAAAAAGCACAGGCGTCGTACGTGTCCCGCGGCTCGTGCAGAAGCAGCACTATCGTCGTAATCGCGACATACATATCTTCCCTGTTCTCCTATCTCGTTATTTTAACGTTAATTTCTCTTCTTCTCCCGTCACGTCGTGTCTCCTGACTCAGATATCGTGCTTTTCACGTATCTCTCTTTTTGCATACGTTGATAAAAAGCGATGTTTGTATTTATATATAAAAAAAAAAACGTTCCTGCGGCTTATAGAATGAACGATCACTATGAGCGACATTAAAATATTCATCGTCGAGCGACGTTTATGTTGCCTGAGCAAACGCCGACAAATTTAATTCATTTCCGATAATAATTACCCTCTCTCTCTTTAATGATTACTAGAGAACACCCTAGGAGGCCGTTAATTTTAAGCAATTATCCGCTACAACATTATCTTGTTATTAGAAAATATATTGTCTCGCAACCTCATTTTCGAAAATGTTTCCACGTTTCGATAACTTATTAATTCTCTTGATGGTTTTCACCTTCGCAAGAACGTTTCGATATATACATATGCATAATTTTAACGGAGAGACGATACAATTTGAAATAGCAGATTCGTGAAATATTGGCGAATAATTATTACGAATGTATGCTAATTAATATCAACATGAGACGCGTTAGATGTTTCATCCAACATCAACGACCCAGTGCTCCATTTCGTACAAAATTTATCACCTTCCTAAGAAATATTTAACTAACTGTTCCATCTGACTGCAAAAATATCATATTTCTGTCATACTCACTTTTCGCTATATATTATTTTGTCAAATAGCTTCGCCAGATGAAGCATCTTGAATGAACTTCTCTCCTAAATACAGTTTTAATATCTAACCATAGAATATAACTCGTATTTTGGCAAGGTAATATCCTTGTGGAATCATCCACGAGAATCTCTCAAGAGACATATCACAATTATCCAAAACTGATTTGATTTTTTTTTTAAATATATACCATTAAACAAAAATCTCTAAGAAGTACATAGTTTTTTTTTTATACATGCTTATTTTGACGCTTAATAGGTGAAACAATACGGACACGTATAAAAAGAGACTTGACTCTTAGATTTTCACAATTATCAAAATATTGCAAAGAGAAATGAAATCGATTCCGAACAGCTATGATACGTCCCTTGTCTGATTGAGTATAGCTATACGCGCACAGGTACTCGCGATCAAGATAGACAGGAATGTGAAAATTCCGCGACTTGTAAATCCGATTATCAGCGCAATCACCTTCCTCGCCTCGTGTCAAAAATGACCGCTCGCGCACTTTGGCGTCTCCGAAAAGAAAAAAAAAACATTGTCCGAAGTCCCATGCAACACGTTTGTGACCAGGGCGAACCGTAACCACGAGCGTAATCTGACTTTATAAGTCCCTGCTTGAATATCCTGTTGGCGATTACATCGTCGTGATGCAAGCAGACTTGTTTGCCACATTAATAAGCGTTATACTCAGCGGAAGCGGAATGAGAGTATTTCGTTTGCCCGCGCGTCCGCGTTCAATCAAAACCCGGAATTTCAATAGAGCCCGCAATTTAGCGAAGGCAGAGTAAATATCGATTTTAAAACAACGCTCACACGGGGAATCGTATGACCGGCTCCGTCTACACTTGCCGTCTCATTCCGCTTCCGCTGCGTGAATATATGAACGTATATGTGTAGCAAAATCGACAGAGTCTCGCGCAAAACACGCGGAAGTACGTCGGAAACTTTCTGTGCGTAACATCTAGGGGAGCTACCCGCTAATGCGCCTCGAGTCCCGATCGGGGCCGCATGTGGGAGTAACTTCAGTGCTATTTCATACTTTGCGACTGTGAGACACAACGCTGTCTTGCGAATAACATCTGTGTGATATCTCTCTACGGCTGCTCGAACAATCTATCTTTCATCTAAGCCCTAAGTTCAGTCTCTATTCTTCCTCGTGGAATCGTGTGAGTCGTGGAGAAAATTGGTGTCTAGTCGTGGCAAAACGAGACGAACGATTAATTATTCACTTTCGTCGTGGCGTAAAAAAATGTCATCATTTAAATCTTTCAAAAGTGAAGAAGATTGAAATTGCTATAAAACTGTTCGAGTTATTTTCGACCATTTTTGCGAAGATATGTCATAAATATTAACAGAGCATTAATAAACGCGAGATAAATCGGTATTCGAGATAATTTGTTGACAACAACGAAGAGTCTTCATTAATGATAAGTCCATTTGCATTTATTAATTATGTAATATTTGTCATAATTTAATTGACCCTGTTTTATCGTGTATCAGGTGCCGCTACACCGAAGTTCGCCTCGTTCTGTCACGTCATCACGTGTAACTCGTGGTTTCGGTGCACGTGGACGGCCAGCATGCACTACGACTAAAGCTTCATTCTCACATATAGCGAAACTGGCATGCCTGGTTTTTTAGGGGGAGGGGGGTCTATCTTTAAACGGGAGGAAAGGGGAGTACGATATATGATATGCGTATCGTTGGTGTGTGACGAATAAATAAATATATATATATATTTAAAAAAATATATAAATATATATATTATATATATATAGTTTGCACGTCGACGTATAATTACACGACAATCTCGCCTGGTTTTTCTCGGTTAAAAGCGTTATATTGTTAATAACAGCGTTACCGTGCTCGAGGATGTAAAAGGGAGATGTACAGAGAGAGAGAAAGAAAGAAAGAGAAAGAGAGAGGGAGAGAGAGAGAGAAATATCGGCAGCAACGAGATGCACACGTGCATATATCCGAAAGGGTAATCCGTCATCGTTTCCGTGTCCTTCCGGCCGTCAAGATCGCGCGCGATACCGCGATAATTAATGATCGACAGCACGATGATCGATACGCCGCGCGGATAATCAGATAATGCGCCTCGTATCGGGCAGAGATAATTCCGCGGCAAAAGGAACCCCTTTCGGGAAGGAAGTTTCCCTTCGCCGGAACGTGTCTGTGTCATTCCACAGCCACGTTATTACGTTAGAAGCTTCGCAACGTATGTCCGAAGTCGCTTCGATACTGTAAAATGTGCCTCGCTGCTGATACGTTCCCTCGTACGGTTTAGAACGTTAAAAGTAAAGTGGGAAAGAACGACTCTTGGAACAGACCTAGGCAAACTTTACGAGTGTTTTTGATCTTTTCTAAATGTCAAGAAAAATGTAAAAAAAAGGCAATGTTATAAAATAGCTTTTATTGCTTAAGTCTGATTCAAAGAAAAAATTTAGGAAGATGCTGGGAATTATAATATTGCAAAATACAGAGTAGACAGATAGGACAAACTTTCTATGATTATTTTCAGTTGTAGTATTATTATTTAACGCTTTGTTCTTTTTTTTTCGATTAATAATCTCTGATTTTAAATTGATGTAATTTACAGTTAACATTCCAGATAAAAATTATCTAAAAAAAAAACGATCAAGCGTGTAATCCGATATTGCCATAAAAATTTCATTTGAGAGAAAGAATATTTTACATCTCGCATAATTAATTAACGTTTTGCGATTCCGCGTGACGACCATTACACCCTATCTCCCATCGCTCTCCGTATTTCGCTTGGGAAAATTCGGTCGCCGAAGGTGCTCGGCCGGAAATTTACCACCGTCGCCGTGGGCGACGGAAGTGAACGTAAGTACGGCGGGCGGCGGCAGGAGGATAGAAAGAAAATATAGTGGAGGGTACGGGAAGGCAGAGAGAAAGATAGAGAGACAGAGAGAGAAACAGAGAGAGAGAGAGAGAGAAAGTGGTAACGCAATCTCGTTCGCTTAGTAAGCTTTCTAAGTGGATGGCTGGATGTCTCTTTACCTTAAACAGCTGTACCCCGATAACAGCGAACATGAACTGTAGGAGATAGGTGACCAACATAATGTTGCCGATCGTTTTAATGGCGACAATCACACACTTCACTACGTACTTTTTTCACGTAGCGTTTTTCGGTTGCGGAGACGAGCAGGGCGAGCGAGCACAGCGGGGAACACGTGGGGTGGTGAGAGAGTGAGAGAGAAACAAAAAAAATAGAGTAGCATTAATTTAGGGTGGCCTGGGTAATCATCACTCCAAGGGGCTGAGGGGCGGGGGCGGGGGCAGGGGCGGGGATCTGTGGGGCCGTTCGGATAGTGGAAGTTCTCGCCACGATTTTCAACTTTTTTTTTTCCTTTATATCATACTCGTTTAATATCGTCTCGTTCGCGTTTTCAGTCGCTCATAGCATTTTATATAGCCCTCGCTAGCTCGATTTATCCTCTCTTCCTGTATGTAGAGTATATATATATATACATATATATCTGTTTTTATTCTACGAATTTCTTATACGCGCGGCGATTTCTTACACGACTTGATCGATCCCTTTGAAAGTTGCGCAGCTTCTCCTCTGATTTCCTCTCGATTCCTCGGAGCTCTCTTTCCTCTCAGAGATCTCCGGTTTCTCTCTCTTTTATCTTTTATTCTTTTTTTTTTGTTTTAGTTTTATCCCTTTTGCTCTCATCGCGTGAACTAAGCCCTCGCCATCCATCCATCAGTGCTCGATGTTTTTTCTCGGCAATGCACCTATGGGACTTTTGGGCGGGGAAAAACCTCGGCGTTTTCCTCGAAAGTTGATTTTACACGTGTGAGATCACGAGCGTGCTCGGTTACATTCGTGGATCCCCCGTGTGGGATAACGCTCGTTTCTCGATGAAATTCGCATTTGTCGCTATAATAAAACGTTATCACTTCGAATATATATACATATATATATATCGCAGATCTCGAAGGTTGAAAGTTAAAGTTGAAAAACGAAATTTTACGAAGAAATAAATCCAATAACTCGGATGTCATGTTATTATTCATGTTTTACTGATTAATAACGCTATATATGGAGGGGTAAAAACCACAGTGGTGTAAGTCAAATTTTT